GCATTTTGCTGTATAGTAAAATAAAGACAGTAAAATAAGAAATATGTTAATTTAAATTTTTCTTAATTTTACCTAGTCGAATTCCTAAAAGGCCAACCGTTACTAAATAGTATGACACAGGTCTTTGGCGGCGCCAATGAGATGCTTACCGACAAAAAATGGGAACCTTCATAAATTAGTTTTGAACTTTACAGCAGGGGCTCCTAATTTTACAACCACCATAAATTTATTTAACACCTCCTCAGGGCTATGAGGGTGAGTTAAACCTTGTTGTAAGTTATGACACCAATATACCGATAGTAATATCATTTAAGAGCTCATACCTTAAGTATTCATACACTAACCTTAGTGTTATGTTGAAGACACCAGAAATGTACCACTGGTAATTTAATGTCACTACTTTAGGTGTTAATCTTAACTATCCTGTTCTCAGTACTTAAAAACGACCTAAGCATCCATTAACGTATTGAGAGATATTTTTCGAAATTATTTAAATATAGAGTTGGTCTAAAGCTATTACATATTGCAAGTGAGTCTTTTAATTCCGTGAGAATTGAAGAACAATGAATATGCTTTCAGTTTTAGTATGGGGCATGTTCAGAGTAAGATGCTTGGTAGTAACTTAACTAATTAATTACTTTGGCTTATTTTAACTTAATTCATGTATCTGGTTGGAAATTCATTCAAAGATATGTAGACGAAGACGTTGTGTAGGTGTAAATAATATAAATCAACTTCGGTGAGTGTGAAAGTGAAGCGATAGAAATCTGGATAGAGTTAATCTTCACTGCATAGTAGTTAGCCTAATGTTTTGTCCACATCGGTACACAGTGACAATATTATATTACAAAAATCACGAAGTGAAAGAAAAATGAACTATATGGGAGTATACAAGCTCTCCTTGATAAGTGGCTAGTGTGGTTGATTCAAGGAAATCTTTTTGTAATATTAGGAACCTCATATAAACCTACTCTATCAAATTCGCCCAATTCAACGTGTCCATCAAGTGGTTTAAAAAATAGAGAATAGTATGACAAACAACATTAATTTGAACTATTATCAAGGGGAAATTTCGTTTAGTACCTACTGTAATTAGTTGTAGTTGTTAGTTGTAGTTAGTTGTGTTGTTAGTTGGTTGTGTTAGTTGTGTTCTAGGATTAAAATAACATAGTTCAAGTCAGCCACCAATAGAGTGTGTTTTTGTAAATACATTGTCTTTCTTATACACGAAGTTGTAAGTAGTGCGAACATCAAAATAGATGAACAGTCAATGTAGTTGGGATTTACTACAATATCCAATGTCAATTTTTATCATTTAACTACAGTTATTTTCCCAGAAATTTTATCTACTTAATAAAATTGTATCCTATATTTGTAAATATTTCAACAAATAATTCATTTCAAACTGAAACTGAATGAAATTTCGAAAATGGGTTTGAAATTGGACGGAGACCTGAATACGTTAATCATTCGAACCACAGAATAATATAAGGATACAACATGTAACATTAAAATATACTACACAAAAGATGACTGTGTAACTTTTTCTGAAGATTTTTTGGGAGATATTCTTGTCCTGATGAGGCTTCACCTTAAAAGAAGGTCTGCGGCGGAAATACCAACCTTTTTGGAATTTGAAAGATGTCGTTCGTTACCGGCTATGGACAAATCATTATTCCAGTCCCGGTTGTCTGAAAATTAAAATTTGTTGGTCGAACTTAAATCCTTCTTTCAAAGTTGATTTTGTTTATTTTACATATTTCTGTATGTATTAGAATTTAATCATTGCCAAGTTGAGCATGTATTAAATATCTGACGATTTTTGTTATAAAAGTAGAAGCGGAATGTGGAATTATATTTCAAGTCTATTTAAATTTAAATTTTTACATGTTTTGACTTAATTCTTCATACACCATTGTACTACAGGAGAGCAATTAACACACTGATGAGTTATAAACAATGTTTTTGTGTGATTTGAATGTGTTAATTTAACCTACCGTATGTTCTCCAACAATGCGCGGCTTATTGGGTTCTTCGAATTTACGACTGTTAATAAATTTATTAATTGAATTTGTAATGTTTGATTATTAATTCAATAAATGAACGATTGGATGATTAGCTCTTTAGTTAATAGTGACAATCAGAATCAGAATAAGAATAAGAATAAGAATATTTATTTTCTCCCAGTAATACAAGTATTACAATAATTAAAATTACAATGCACAAACACAATAAAAAGAAATTGATATAATATTCTATTAAAACTAAATATCCCACGTGTCAGACTGACTAAGAAGAAAAAAAAAACACTGGCTTATTTACAACAATATTAATTAACATAATAAAGAAACCTAAGAATTATACCTAGATGATTTTAATTTCATTCTCTTTTTTGTGCAATTTATTGGGAGAAAATGTAGGGGACAATCTCTTCACACCCTCATATATTTACTTTTTTAGAATTCAGAATTATTTAGAATTGCCTATTGGTATAAAAACTCTAACACAAGATTTATCATTCTGCATGACTCCCTAGACTCAACAAATTACAATCTCACAGAACAAACTTTTATCAAAAACAAAACAACATAAATATATAACACTGCTTACCCAATTCTTCATTGTACATTTATTCCTAACTCATTTGAAAATAAATTTGATAATCGCACGAGATAAACTCCCAATTCAGTAGCCGATGAAACATTGTCCACAAATCGAAAAGTTGCAATCAAAGAAGCCGCTGTGTTTTTGGCTGACCATTCGGGGAGGAGGGGAATCGAAATGCGGAGGAGGGAATTTTAAATTGGTCCTTACAAGACAATTTACAGCTGGGCCGGCAACACCGACATAAAACACGAGCACAAAAAGTTGGTTGGCGCGAAAAACTGCTTGCATTAATGCATGACCGCGCGGCGGGCCGGCTTCATGCGACCTGGCGAGCCTGCCGTTACTGGCGACTAGGAATTTGTGTACTTCGTACTGTTACAAAATGAGAATCCAAAGATATTTTCATAATACAACATATCTGTAGGTAACTTATTTTCTTGGATACACTGAGAGTTTATTAGAAATCATTTCTGGGACAGCAACGACATCTAATTACGTATTTTAAACGGAATATAAATTCAAGCTGATTTAAAAATGTATTTTGGTCATCTGTGTGCATTGTTAATGACTATGATCAGCTGTACCTTATCTACCATTTATGAAAAGCCCAATGATAAATCCGCTAGTTCCAGTTTTAAACTATCATAAAGATACTGAGTAAAAATCTTTGCTATGAATACGTCCAAATCAGCCCTGAAATCCATGACGGCTTCATGAATATTAAGACCCGGCTTGCCTTTACGGGAGACTAGAATTTGTATATGACTGCACCATTCAAAAATAAGAATCAAAAATACTAGTCCATAACTGATCTTCAGGTAATTTTTTTCCTAGACACCTTTAAAGGTTTATTGGGTATGAATTGGTCTACGAATTCCCAGTTTTAACAATCCAGAATTAGTCTATAACGACTTTGTGTGTATTGCACCCAATAGTGCGTGTTTGTCATGGTGATTGGGAGTTTGTTTACATCTGTACTGTTCGCAAATAAGAACTCATAACAAATTAATAGTAATTAATTGTTCTCACCTATTGTGTTTATTAGGGATGAACTTAGAATTTGTCTAAGTTATGAATCAGAAACAGTCCTAACTAATTGTTCTGTTACGTCTATATCACTATATGCATATTTCTGGATTTTAGTTTGTTCAGTTTTGTTATAACATACAAGATCAAACATACGGAGGAAAATGACAGCACGGAAGTATTAGAGCTTTCATTTCATTATTCGTCCAGTTTACTTTTTATTTGATATTCGTATTGGATATTAAATATTTTCTCTGTAAAAGATTATGTGATGTAAACTTAAATTGTGTCAATACGTGATTTTCAATAGATTAAGCTAATATGCACAAATGGCCAGAATATGTTAAGTGATTATAAGTCTTGACTGCACGGTATACAGGTACAAATCAAACCAATTTGATGACTGTTTAAAGTAAATTAATTGGGATATTAAGCCTGAAACTAAAATTAAGCTTGGGATGAAATCATAAAATGTGAAAGATGATTACAGAAACAATCCAGTTGGTAGACATGTGTTATTCGCAATGCTTCATAGTATATATACAGGGATACATACTGGGGTTTGTATTTTACAATAAAACACCACGCTTACAGTAGGGAACAAAACATAAATAAAATTATTTTCAAAATACAGTTTTTGTTATTATGTTAACAATGTACTGTGCAAGGAAACTGTTGATATATATTGATATATTTTCTTCTAATTGCGATAAAAAAGAACGTTTTTGATCGGGGAAGTGTATTTGAAATTTGTCAAAAATTTAAGAGAACACTGACGTAATATATTTTTTGGGTACGTTTGATTGTTTTTAAATATTCAAACTATAAAAGTATGGACACCAGCTCGTAACATTGTTTTTAAAGGTCCATCCGTAGATAGTCATAATCCATATCAATTCATGTTAACATAGAGCTAAAAACTTAATAAAAATAACTCGTCAGCTACTACTTTACATAATATGTACTTTACATAATATGTAAAGTAATGTAGTTCATAATATTATAAATGAACGAAAAAACATTAAAAAGCTGGAAACACAAAACAAGCCAATCAAATTTATGATCATCAACAGTGTTATCGTTAAAATGTCCACCATAAACATATTTCCCACTAATGGATAAAAGAGAACAAAAAGAAACCGAATATAAATGACATTTGAAGAAGACAAACCACTTAGAACTTTTTATAAAACATAAATAAAAATTAGATAGATAAAAGATAAAAGTAAAATATCCAGCATTGAAAAATATTTGCTTATTAAGTCGATAAATCAAACAATAACCATTGTTAATTGTAAATAAAATCCCAAAAAAACTACATAAAACTCTAAACAAAAACAATATACATATAAATCCACAGAACTTACCTCAAATTCCTTCCTCACAGTAAACACTTTAAATTATCACAAATCACAACAAAATCCACAATCGCACAGGTCGAGATCGTGGCAGGTGAGTCATCGGTGATTAGTGGCAAGGTACACAATTACGCGGCAAAACTAGTGATTATGGCGGGGTCGGCCATGTTAGTGTGGGCCCAGACAGCGTGGCACCTCTGAGACGGCGACGGAGTGTCTGGCGGTGAAGTGGTGGAGGGGGGCGTCTAGAGGGGTTCCTCAGGGCGCTGTTCTAGGTCCACTAATGTTTACGAGCGATTCTTCTTGCAGAACTATCTAAATACCTTGTAAACCCTCAATTTGAAGGTTTTGGAGTTGAAGATGATGGAGGTTTTTCATCATGGCTGGTGTTTAAAGTGCATTTTGATGGGGTTCTGTTCTGCGTATCTTCGTCTACAATCATACATCATATTCCCTTTTTGTTAGTGTCTGTTTAAGAATGTAAATGAAAAGGGAAATTTATTGAAAGGCCGAAAGCTCGATTTTAAATCAATAAAGAGCAGCTGAATTTTCACCGGATTGAACAGGTGATCTTTCAAGTCTTATGTTCAAGTTTTAGAATGAAAATGAAGGTAGGAAATCCAACCATCGATGGTGTGTGCTACTATACAGTGAAATAGTATATTACTTATTTACTTATCTGTGACAACTGGTGATTTTTCATTTCATCCCTGTCCACCAACTTTTTTAACCAAGTCACACTGAAAACACCAATTACAGACAACTATAACTTTCAGTGATATATTTAAAGTAACGTCAATTTATCAACGGACAGAAGATGTAGATATGTAAAAGATGAATTTTTACATTTTCTGTGATCGGTTTATTCTATGTCCCATTTTAATGAAAATATTGGCTCTAGCAGGTTCTTAAAGATGGATTGTCTACTTTGGAATACAAAGGCAATACTTCGTAGAGATTATCTTCGGACAGAATAAACAGTTTATAATTCACGTTTTTATTGGGAATTCTAGAGGAAAAAACTCTCTAAGTATTGATTTTAATTTATTAAATGATGATGTCCCATGACAATTTCTTGCACAAAATTTCACTTTTTTAATCATAATCGATCACCCTTCAACATGAAATTGCCTTCTGGGGAGTGGCACTGCATGTGATTCATGTGCGATTTCAATAAATCAGGCAAGCTTGATCTTCATCTTTACAAAATACTTGCATGCCGACTCTCTTCGTTTTCCTTTAAATTACTTTCCTGTACAGTAAATTCTCGTAATTTCGCTCCCAAAAATTCTTCCTGTTGCATTGTAAATGCCCTCCTCTTTTATCTGATGCGTACCAAGCCCCAAGTACTTTCATCTTAAACTATAATTGAGATCACGAGTCTAGTGGAAAGTTCCCCTTCAAGACAGCAGGAAATCCTCAAGCGACTGCACCGAAGGAATTTTCTATTCAAGCTTAACAATAAGAAAGGTATAAGTGATAGAAAGTCCCTCCTCCTGGGTTCCCAGCCCAGGTCCTTGAGCTCTCACGTCAAATTACCCACAATCTGTGCTTTTTGGTCCAGGAGCCCCTTGCATCGGTCACGGCTCAGCGCAGAAAAACGAACAAAGGAGCAGCAGAGGGCATCAGGTCGTTCATCCTCGACAAGAACTTGTTTATAATAAAATCATCACAGCTTAATCCTGGACTTCTTGATGAGCAGGGTCTTTCAACAAGAATATCGAGGGGATTAAGTGTTGTATTATTTTTTTGAATGCAATTTTAATTCAGCACTGAACTAATTGAAAGAGAAAATAATGATCTGGATTGAATTGATGATTAGGGCTTTCTGGTGTGGATCCTGAATTCAAATTTCGACAAAGACCATATGTTTCAGCTTTGAGATAGTATCAGTAGTATTATGCTTTTACAACAATTTTACATTTTCATATAGTTGAAAGATCAACTCAAATGGTTTTTTTATTTGGCTGTTTGGATGGTGTAGGTTGTTCGAAGCCAACTTTCAGTTGGCTAAGAATAAAGGAAGATAGTCAAAGAACTGTCTCTGTACATCTTTGTGTCTCAATAAAAAAGTAATAACGCTATGTGATTAGAGTTCTTGCTGGGATTTTTTTTTACAGTAACATTACGTGGTACTACCCCATTGCCATAACGAACGAAGTACAGTACTGTACAGTTGTATGAATACCAATCTCATCTAAATCCTTGAGACACTCTTTTGAATGGCTTCTTTGTCTTAAAAATTTATCCAATGACATATTATTTCTGTTCATGCGAGAAATGCCCCCCAATTCTAGCTGACCACCTAAATTTTATGAAACTGTCTCGATACAACTGTTACAATTTTTTACTCCTAAACGCAGTTAAACTTTTGAGAAAACTAGTCGTGGGTGCACTGAAACGGATGGATCTCAAGTTTCAGTTGTTCCTTCATTTAATGTATCAGTTTTCTGTTTCTCAGTAAGGTGGATGTCTCAGTAACTGGAGCAGTAACAGAATTTTAAAGAAACAGAATTGACAATGCCGTATAAACTGTTAAAATTTTGCTTGGTTAACGTCTGAGAAGAACTCTATAGTACTAAATTATTGGCTTGGAATACAATTATTTAAGTCAAGGCCTCATAGAATTTGTACTCAAGTGTTTGGTTTTATTAGTTAAACCATTCTTATTTATCTTTATTTGGTTGGTGTCGTTGGAAAGATGTAAACGCGTTTCTACCAAAAGCTCAACAAACTTCAATGGGAGAAACGTTCCTTGAAGGGACAATGGATGTTGTGGACAGAAATCGAATGAAGAAAAGGACCAAAGACAACTAGATCCAATTATGAACCATCAAAAAACTCCTGAACTTTCTTAAGTTCGATCCAACTACGTTTTCATCATCGAACGCGCACCTTACTTATTCACTCATCTACCTAATCAATTTTAGTACTACACTGTAGGTTTATCCATCTATAAAAATAAAAAGCATAGGTTTCTTAGTCGCAGAGAATTGTCTCCTTATGGTAAATCTATCCCTACACTGAAAGCAATATAATAATTAATTAACCTTCTAAAACACTCAGTCCCAAAACGCCGTTGAAATGGAATAATAACACATAGAATGCAGTAACGCTATGCAGAGGTCACTCCAGCTGCTCAAATGTGATTTGGATTCAGCCCAGCGCCCACGTGCCCCTGGGGAGTTCAACATAAATTACACATCCAATTACTAATAACATTTTTAATGACACCTCTACGCCTCCCCCCACGGGGTGCCTTCCCAATGATGGTACTTGCCGCCGCTGATTGAGTGGGCTTTCTATATGTGAACCGCTTAGTTGATGATTTGCCTCTACATGTTCTTATACTGTAGTAGTATGTTTCAACAATTCCATATTGCTAGGAGAAGTTTTATAAGGTTTACGTAAGAACCTTTGAACTTACCTGTATTACTATCATTATCATTACTGTAACACAGAAACGCACATCTAAGCGTTGAATATGGACAAATGAATGTGAGGCTAGGCTATATTCGTGGTTTAGATACTGATTCAGATCAGATAGCTGTTTCTTTAGCAAGAATAATTTATTGGTCCCACGATCAAAGAAAACTGGGAATCATCAAAAAGGCAATTTTACTCAGATTGATCTGGCGACCTTTTGATTGAATGAAAGATGATAACAGTTACCACTAATATACCAAGCTATGACAGAGGAGAGATAAAGCATGCTTTGATTGGTCTTTGCGTGGTACCTTTCCCCCCACCTTTGATTCTATATTAATATCTTAATTGAAAAAAATCTCTAAGTTTGCTGATAACCACAAGATTACGGCATGGCCCAAACACAATGGTGATGCAAGGGATTTTTAATATGACTCTGCAATTAATTGATGTCCTTAACTCTGCACCTCTATAGATGCTGGTCTACTTCGAAATTTCACAATGATGATTCAGTTAGTAGGTCTTATGGGTCGCCGGAATTTTATCCCCCTGGAATTTTACCCCCTGGGCAAAGCTGACGTCACTATGACGTAGTGACCTGAGCGGCCAAAAGTTTGTTCGCGGCCGGAATTTTACCCCCGCGGATTTGGAAGTCTAATGAAAATAGTCAGAGTGTGATTAATTAGATTAGCGATAAAACCCGGAATTTTACCCCCTATCCATATAACGAGCGTTTAGACAACTGAAGATGTACGGGCCGGATTTTTACCCCCGGATTTTTACCCCCCGGAATTTTACCCCCTGGTCGATTTTAGAAATTGAATGATTGATTTTCTTATATCTGTTTTTAATTAATTGTAAACATTTCATTATTTAGTAGCCTATCTTTATTTATTTTGTAATCTCAACTAAGTAAACAGAATTCGCTGTTTTATTTTGATTATATTAATTAACCAACAGTTGGCTTCAAAGATCAAATCCTGATACTCGAATCTCAATATTAAAATTAAAAAGCTGTTCGATTAGTTAATGTTACAAATAAATTAAGATAGGCTACTTAATAATAAAATGTTTACTATTTAATTAAAGCTGATTGAAGTAAATTAATCATTCTCACCAATTTATATTTACCAGGGGGTAAAATTCCGGGGGTAAAATTCCGGGGGTAAAAATCCGGAGGGTAAAATTCCGGGGGTAAAAATCCGGGGGTAAAAATCCTGGGGGTAAAATTCCGGGTTTAAAATTCCGGGGGTAAAAATCCGGGCCGTACATTCTAGGTTTTTATAATTTGATGTGTTCTGATTAAATTCACAACCGTGAAAATATATGTTTAATTCCGCGTTTAATCCATCGAGCTGATGTCGCGAAACTCTTAAGTTCACGGCCGGAATTTTACCCCCTGGTTTGTGACGTCACGTTTGCCCAGGGGGTAAAATTCCAGGGGGATAAAAATCCGCTACCCCGGTCTTATAATGGTATCATACATACTGACATTTCTTTCTTTGTCATTAGTAGGTATTGAAAGGGTTAGGTATTATTCGTACACTGAGAATCTATTAGTTGCCAAGAGCTCGAGAGAAATCGTAGGCATTAATAGTGCCAGAGTAATATGATCCAGGTCCGAAGTCCGAAGTTCAAACCCAATCAAATTGAGCTGAAATACGAGCAAGGAGATGATATCTAAACTGCTCCGCAGCCTACAGTGTCCAGTCACGACGTCAGTATCTGATGTGTAAGTCGTCACACCCACACCT